AAAAAAATACAACCTCAAAAAAAAGGTTTTGGATGGAACTGGTAGTAATTGCAGGGATGTGTGGTTACAGTACTACTGAAAACAGATTTTACCTTTCTTACAAATACTACATCTATGTAAGCCGGTGATGCTGCAGACCCAGTACCGAGCATGATTCTTAAGACAGATAATCTGTGTGTATTTAAGCAGTATCTTTCCTTATATCATCAATTCTGCATTGCAAAACTGCCACACAACACTGCAATTTGCAGAGGCTGTTCTTAATACCTGGCATGGCAGTAAAGTAAGGAAGCAAACAATTCACGTTTAGCTGGGTAGGCACTACAGCATTTTTGATCTATAAATTGTTTCAAGACAATAGGGTTCAATTCTGAACGTTTTAAATTCTATGAACATATGAAGCTTGTAAGATTGGACTGCAGGAGTGTAAAATTCACCTGTAACTACCTGGCTGCAGCTTAACAGTCCAAAAGCACATTCTGAAGCTCCGAGATTCACCCTTCTGGGGCGGTGGGTTTCTAGCCACGCGTGCCCTCAACACAGTTGCAAACAGCAATCTCCTGCGAGTTTGTGAGGGTGAAGGTCTGTATTGTCAGAGCTTAGCCTGTCCAGTAGCAGGCTGAAGCTTACTTTCTACGTTATTCACTGACAATCACTTGGGTTTGTTATGTTTCCCCTTTTAGGAGAGTAAAATGTGGCAGTTACCTAAAAGACCTGCCTTCTAATTGGAAGCTGTCAAAATTGGCCTTTTAGGGTTTTTTTGGTTCTGAAAGCTTTAATACAGGAATCACATCCATCATGACATGGCAACAGTGAAACACTGGACTGAAATTAGCTGCTGTTGATTATGGTGGATACTAGGGGTTAATATGGAGAACTGGAGAGCTGAAACAGTGATGTTACATTAGCAGGTCTTTAGACATCCAAGTCACAAAATTCTAGTCTAAGCTGTTGTGAAATGGGCTCTTGGAGTGTGGGCTCTTACTTGGCAATCATCCACAGAGTGGAGAAGATGAGCACTTGAGTCCCAGCCAGCTTTGAGAGGTTTCATGTGCCAGGGACCTCAGAACTGTTACGACTGAACCTAAGCAAAGCCGTGACTGGCTGGAACATGTAAAATTTCTGACCCAGGCGCAGGCATGCTGTAAGGGTTGGCAAACAGCTTCTAACCTTCTGTGCCAGGCTGCAGGACTAGGCTGTGTGATGAGGTCTACAACACACTACTCCCCACTGAGGTAATGGTCAGGAAGTATTACTACTGTGCCTCTTCAGTACATGCCAAGAACAAGCCTGTTCTCACCGCTTAAAAGCAAGCCAGGCTTTACAGGGAATAAAATTGCACGGCCCACAAGTAACAGCGTGGCAGCGTGTGTATGTTTAGTGACCAAACAATTTTCTTCACTTTTAAGATGCTTAAAGTAGCCAAGTCAGTGCAACACCTCCCTTCAGGCCAAGGGAAAGAACAGCACAGCGTTACAGCGCGTTGTAGTGCTGTCTCTTCCTGTTTGCTGTCGCCGCTTTGCCCAGCAGGTTACAGGAGCTGAAAGCCATCTACTGCAAGTGGCTGTATCCACCAGGACACAGCAAAAACATGCCAGGAACCAAGAGCAGCTAAGTGAACAAGTGCACTTGAATCCAGTGCTTGGATGCTTCTAGAATAGAGTTAAACAAGGCAGCAGTGAGTTACAAGTTTCTGGAAGTCTGAAAACAGGATTCTCCCCTAACAGGCTCCTTTACTGAGGTGCCTGCTTTCTTGGCTGTTAGCCAATGAGGGTGAACAATCACTGGCCAAATCAACTTATTAGTTGCCCATTTCAAATGCCTCAACATCCTCCTCTTCCCTAGGTTCAGGTCGAGGCAACGGAGCAGATGACAGTACGTGGTTCTGCTCCCCTGCTGCACACCAGTTAACCCTCTGGGCTCGTACAAGCAACAGCGGTTAGACTGGCTCCATGTAGTTACAAGGCTTTCAAAATGAGTCACTGAAAGGCAAATGCAGAAAGATGTGACCTGTCTCAGAAGCACAGTCTGTGGCCCTAGTGTTCCAGCCTTCCACAGTACTACCCTAAATTAGGGACTCTACAAAGACCTTGCATTAAACCTCTGGCGTTCAGCTAGCAGACACAAAAAGCATTCCTAAACCTCGAAATTCCTGTTTCCTCCTGAAACATGCGTAGCAGCGTTTTGGGCAAGATGCAACACTACTGTGTTTTCCCAAACTATTAAAAATTGCTTTTCTTCCATATGTGGATAAAACTAGTAATGGCTCTTCTTCTCTAACATGGCAACAGATGAGTCAGTGACCTATGCTACAACCAAGCCTAGTACACAAACTCTAACAGCGAAAGGCAGCTGGCACAAACGGAGTGGATCACACTCCATATTCTCTAATGCTTGTCTACTTGCATGGCTGCTGAAGTTTAATATCCAGCCTAAATCTGCACCTACGTGCTCCTCAATTTTTGTACAAGCTAAAGCAAGAGGCTTCAGCTGGGGAGAAGATGGCTTAGAGATGAATATACTGTATTCCTCTGAGAGCACTTAGAGGGGTGACTTCAAGAGTCAGGATTAAACAATGTGCTTCACCTCAAGCTGTCCCTGCAGCACAGGGCAATTCCTGACTACGAAACTGCCTGTACAGTTTGGTCAGAGCCAGTGCAGGTATGTGCGTGCATGCTGGGAAGCTTTAAGGAGACCAAATAAAGAGCAATTTAAGAGGTGTCATGATTTTCTCCATCTGCCAAACAGGTATGGTGAGAAGTAACGACTCTTCAAGTTCTGGAACTGATGGTCTGTTAAACCACGACACCTTCACAGTGTGCCTCCTGGGGAGCTGCTGGTGCAGAGTAAGGAATGTTCCGGAGTGGGGCCAGGAATATCAGGGATGGCAGGTAACTGTAAAGTTTCCAGGGCTTTCAGCAATGGTCTCCCTCTATTCCTGGTCTCTGCAAGGAATAAACATTCTGCAAACCCTGCAAACGGTCACCTTGGTCTTTAGCACTCTCTCAGACTATAGGGGAGTGAACACAGTTGGAGAAGACAAAGCAAGGATGGCTTGTGACCAGAGGTGGGGTGGAAGGTGACATTCCCAGGTCTTCATCAGATGTACAGGAAGCTTTTCTGCCCAGAAGCTTTGGGTAACATCCTGCTGAGCAGGCTGCCTGCAGCTTTGTGCTTCCTGCAGCATCATGCCCAATAAAAATCCGTGCTCTATGTGTAATTAACAAAATTACCTGCTAAATCTGAAGAGGAGCTGGGAAAGTTAACTTATCCTCCTGTATCCATTATTTCTTGGGAGGAAATTTTGTAGCAGGCCCTCATTTCCCAGGTTGTAACTTAAGTGATGGAGAAAAGGGGTATCAGTAGAAGTAGTGAACTGTGCTGTCACTCTCGCTGTACTGGCTCTGCTCATGGGGCCGCAGGGTCTAAGTGAATTTCCTTCTCTAAATCAGCATGTTATTTTGTTGATGGGATGTTACAATAACTGCCTTCCTCTGGCAGGGACTGTGGTTTCCTGTCACCCAGCTTAACTGCTGGGTCAACATCTACTTTAATCTGTGCTAAACACGTCTGATGATCTGAGAGTCAGCAGCAGCATGTTTTGATAGATGGTCTACATTGTTTCACATATAACAATGCAGGTGAGTAAGTCTGAACAGAGAAGGAGCTGAGGTCCAACAGGTATTTTCCCTCTTTCATGTAATAAGTTCAAAGGAAAATAATTGACAAGTGTGTTAACAAGATGTGAGAGCGCTCCAGCCTTCCTCAGACTGTGCCCCTAAACCTGTCTCCTTCTGGCAATGGAAAGGTGTACGTGGAGTGTGATGGGTAACACATTACCTTAAGCTGTCTTACGGGATATCTCTCCAAAAGAGGCTTCTCCAATTGCTAAGTGCAATACAGCGCTCCCCCTCACATTCAACGGACAAAACTGTATTTTTTAAGTTGCTGCAATAATCCCTCAACTTCCTAAATAAAATGATGGGTCTCTCTGCTCAACAGATTTGGCCCCGAAAGGTTACCTGCAGTCAAAATCAGAGGATGTGAAGTGAACCAGTAAGTTTTGCGCTACACAAATTTGCAAAAGCAAAGTACATACCTGCAGGCACAACTTCTCTCCAGCTCTCTGGTAAGAGAAGCAATACTAGTCCCCTGCAGTCACCTTTTATTCTCATGAGAGACCACCTTGGCGTCGCCCGTTGAGGCAAGAGAATAAACAGGCCAGACAACCAGCCCCCGAGACGGCTTGTGAACAAGCTGGGAAAGCTTGTCTCATGGACACAGGAAAACAAACACTACTGAAGCCCATTCTTGCTCTAAGCCTTTCTGTACTCTCCAAGGGATGCCTACATATGCGAGGGGACAATCACTGTGGCAGAGAGGTCAAAAGGCACTTGGCCTAGTACTCTACTGCAAATTACGGGTTTGCCTAACTAGTTTCCTGCTTACATGGCAAGACGCCTTGGAGAATACTGGCCTTCCAGCTTTCATAGAATATTACTGCCCTTCTATAAACACTGAGGCAGCCTTTATAGCTGTCCTATCAAGGCATCAGCTAATGGTGTGCTCTGAATGTATCTGGTGCGTGGCAGTAGCGGCGACTTGCTGCTGACAACTACAGATGCTGTCTGAGACGCCCCAAAGAGGGTTCAGCTTGGACTAAAAAGCCTTCAGGATGAGAATAAGATGTTTAATACTAAAAGCGGCATTTACCTGACACTGTCATCTTTTAGTTTTCTGGCTGCTTGTTTGGATAACTTAATCTGCAAGTCCAACCTTTGTAGGAAATCTTTGGCAGACAGTTCTTCTGGTGCAGTGGGCTGATTGTCAGGCTCTTGAGGACTGGGAGAAGAACTACTTTCTTCCTGAACTGTCACTAGTCCTTCATCACAAGAAGGGGAGCTGTCAACAGTTTCACCCTCGGGAGACTCCAGTGAATTAAGTCCATTGAACAGTAACGGTTTCTCTGATATAACCGGAATATTCAGGGTTTTCCTCAGAAATATACAGTCATTTGTGAACAGTTTATTTGCCCTCTTTATTTGTTCCATCTGAAAAAGATAGGGAGAAATGTAAGTTATTAGGGTTTGGCAAAGTATAAAGTACTAACTTTCTGAAGCAGTAGAGTCACCTTTAGTTCCAACAAGTCCATACTTGCTTTGCAGCAGTAACAACCTCAGGAAATGATTTTTTTTTTTGCATTCCAAGTGATTTCAGAGTGTATGTTCTGTCTCAGCCTTGTTAACTCAACACCCTAAGCTTCTTCCTTTTACGTAGACTTGAGTCAAATATTGGTCTCTCTGAAGTCCTACGCTACCTAAAGATGCTTTTCTTGAACAGTCTTCCCGTCGCTATACAGGCTCACATGAACAACTTGCCAAAGAATAAAAATTATACTGGGGAAGTGCTGCCAAACTGGATTTATTAAGAGTAATGCTCAGAACTGCTAGCAGCTGCTGCAGGTGAACTCTGGTAAAAAGCACACACAATACAAACGAGGGAGGATCAAGTTACCTTCAGTACTGTAAGATATACTAGTTATGAACAGCAAGCACAAGTCTTGGAAGAGTAGTATATGCTTCATCCATAGTATTCCCCTCACCCCCCAAGCGAAGTAACAAATTCAGACTTTAGATGAAGTCCTGATTTTCAGAGAGAAGTCAGGCAGTGAAAAGAATGTAGGACCCTTAAACACCTTGCTATGCAGCTGCATAGACTGGTGTCTGCATTTGTCCGATAAATTGAATCTACAGTGACCTCATGTATGCAATAATGCGTGGTAACAGCCACCACGTAACTGTTAAATACTTTTTCATGCAACTCTTAGGCAAAGTACTACTCAGAACCTACTTGTCCATACAGATAATCTCAGGACAGAAGCAAGACGACCCCATCTTTCTCTGCATGCTACTGCATCAAGCCCCACTTGTTCCGTATTTAACCTGAGAAGCTACTATAAAAATTCCACTCCTTTACAGGTGAGGAAAAGCTCACAGTAAACGTTTATACTATTTCCCTGCTAAGAATATTAAGTTCTTACTCACCAAAATTTCCTTTCCAAGTCAGTAACAGTTGAACTAGTTTCCTATTTCTCAATTGCAAGCTTTAAAAATCTTCAGTTTAGCTCTCAGATGATGAAAAATTGCTCTATCATCTTAAGCCTGACAGCCTTAGACTCAGTTTAAACTTTGCTCTGACACTACTTGGGAGTCCTTCCCAACTGCAGAAGAAAAGACCATTGTTAACAGTTGATAAGCAGATTAACAGGCCCGTGTGATTCTTACACTGAACAGACTGAAGCTGTCTAAACCCAATGGAGAACAGTGGAGACATTAGTCTTTCTTCTCTGTGCAGATGTGAGGCTGTGTGGCCACTTTCAGAACTGGAATAAACTCCTAGTGCAATGTAGACGTGTAAGAGTATCTACTGCAGTGCCGGTACAGGTCTGGTGTCATGTATGGATGCATTTGCTTGCGTCCTGGAAGCCTGAGGAAATCTTTCTCTGTAAAAACAAATAGGAGACTCTCTTCTACAAAGGCTAGGTGTCTGGGAGAGTAGTGAAAATGGTGCACATGTCTAAAAGTCGCCTGTCTTGATGGGTATCAAAAATGTTTAAAATGCTAGATGGAGCTTTTCTCTAAAAACACAACACAAAAGCTGCAAACTGAGATCTCTACTACAGGGCAGTTGGAAGGTGATGCTTCGGTAGCTGATAAATAATGCACTGCTGTTCTCCAGCCTTCGTCACTGTAACCCTACCTCTGGTTATTTCCTCCTAAAAGACCTTTTCAAATATTATCTTGTGGCATTTGGAAAACCATGTACCTCTTCACCGAGTAACAATGAAATGCAAAATACTTGGTTCTAAAAAGAACACCCCTCAGCCCTGAGCAGGTTATTTGATGCGTGTAACATACACTGCTCCTCTTGCAACCCAATGACTCCATACATTCATAGGGGTATGGAGAGCAGGATTTAACTCTAGTTTCCTTAGTGCTGAGAAAACTGAACCAATTTCTGTTAGCTACAACCCTATTATAGTGAAACATGTGCTAAAGCCTTTGCTCTTAATAATTTAACTGAAGCTGCACTAATGCATAAAGTGGTGCTGAACTAACCCAGCAAAAGTTCTACTGACAACGAAACAGCCCTCTCCCTTTTCCCCTCAAAAGGGATGCCTTTGTATGATGGAAAACAGCACTCCAACTGAACCAAAAATATGATCCTAAACATAAATTCCCACTGCTAATTTACCCAACAGTCTTCAAAGGAAGATCTAATGAACACAAGGCATACAAGATTAATAGACAGCATCTGGGGACAGGGGTGAAGGGCAGAGGATGAGGGCAAACAAAGCGCACTCATCTCTCCCCCAACATTTTCATCCATCTGACCTGCCTGCGCTATGTCATGCCAAGGCAGGCACTGGGCAGGAAGTCTCTTGCTGCAATGTAACTCCCAGTCAGGAAAACCACAGGGGTAAACTTCTAAAAACAGCAATACTGGAGGCAATGGCAGCCAAAGATAATTTCTGGTGTTCCCATTACAGCAACGCTCGCTTCTAGCCAAGTATACAGGAAGCAAATGTAATGACTCTTTAGAGGAAGTCAGTCCTTGTCCTTGTGTGAACACAAGAGTCTCCATTTTTGCCAAAAGCAAACGTGTTTGCATACATTCCTACGCTGGGCTGAAACCCGCTAAAGGAGAAACACACAATGGCTGACTTCAGCTAACTGGGCACGTCTCTTAAGGACATTTCATGTCAGTTTAACCTTCCTCAACGGGTGTCTAATGATGCAGCTCTGGTTTCTTAAGCAGAATGCCAGCAACATTAAATCAAATAACAAGTGAGATGTTAAAAAAAAAAAACAACACAACAGCATTTACACTTTAAATGCATCATTAGCACAGGAAAAGCTCATACTATGAACAAATTTTATGGTTCCTAAGTTAAATCTAATTTTGCAGACTATACAGGTTTGATCCACAACTTCACTTTAGCTGAAAGGGAGTTATAAAGTACTCTTTTTCTAGAAAAATACTATTTTAGTAATCTGTTTATCTTTCACTTACTGGAGCTAATACAATACTGAATGAAGAACACAGCTAAAGCACTTAGGCCAGAGACTTTATCCATTAGGGAAAGCACTACAAAAATAAAACTTCAAACAAATCCACTGGGCTGCCCCTGCAGTGAGCAAAACTTTGTTTTAACATGGATCAGTGTAAATCCGAAATGCCATTAAAGCTGTTGCCAACAAGATTTGGTCAAAAGTGGCTTAATCTTTCTTAAGGGATGGGAAATACAATTTTAACCCTTTTCACAACCAAGGTTGAATGCTGCTGGAAGTTGCTGGAAAGCTTTAGTAGATCTTTCAGAACCAGAGAAGGAAAGGAAACCCATTCCAGTCAGAACCTTTAATTTGGGACTGCACGGTACCTCTTCTAGAAAGAGCTCATCTGGAAGGCACTCTTTGCAGATGTGACAGTCCCACTGCACACTAGTAACAGGCTGTTAGCTATGCTCATCAGCTGCTTGGCCCCAGGCAATTTTTCAGGTTGGGACTGCTGAAACTGCATATAGGTACGTCGGTAGCCCACTGGGCCCCAAATAAACTGGAATGAAGGTAGGGTAGGTGAGCTCTGTGGGAATGGCAGCGTGTTAGGGCCTGCTGGCAGGCTCTATTAGACTCTGCATGGCTTAGGCTGGCATAAGCACTTTGTCATCTTTCACAGATGTAAACTTTCTTCTCTATAGGAAGAGAGCAGAAAAGCAGCAACACTTTCAAATCAACTGTGTATCACCTCTAGGCTGGTACGTAGTAGATAACAACGGAAAAATCTGTAGCCCTGAAGCTACTGGAAGAAACTATTTCTTCTTGTCACAGCCTATGTGTCAACCTCAAAATGATTTTTTCCAAATAAGTTTAATTGCACTGGGTTGTTTTTTTTTTTTTTAGTCTGAGGTGACTGCAGTGGCAAATTGTCATGTGAGCACAGGTTTATTCTGTGAGACTAAGTGTATCTCCCTTCCCAGGGCCAGGCCACCCAACCCAGCACTCGGCAGTTTCAAGCCCGTGCTGGAACGGGCCCTGTCTCGGGCAGGGCGAACCTCAGCCACCAGAACTGGGTGCTGACCCCTCCAAGCAGGTCATACGATTCGGATGCCAGAATGTGCAATACTGAAACTAAAACCAGCACCGCATCCAGGGCAAGAAACGGACCTTCTGCCCAGCCTGGGCAGGAAACGCTACAGGGGATAACCTAATCTCCCGGCTGTCTTTCACTGCCAGCGCATCCTTCCCTTTGGCCCCGTTATTTTCTGGGCTTAGCAACTGCGCGCCGCTATCGGCCTTGCAGCCCCCGGGCTGAGCCCCTCCCCGGCTCGCC